GATGGGGTCGGGATCAGCACAGGCACTTGGCGGGCCCCTCGGGAGGCCCCCACCCGATGGGACTGGGGGACTGAGGACCCCAGGCTCTCTCTCCTGGTCCGATGATACCTGGCAAAGCTTATCTAATTCGCAATCAAAATGAGCTCAATATTAGAGTTAACTTAATAAATCTTTACTATGTATCCACAAGGTGCTGCGCATTAACTGTATGGAAAACAATGTCTAACAAACTGTGGTCTTTGTCAGCAACGAGTCGAGCTTGTTACTGTTTATCTGCAACAGATTTCTTTGGTGCGCTGAACACCAAGAGATAGACTCTCTCAGTCTACAGAGAGAGGCAGGGGGACATCCCGGTGCTGGGCGAATGGCAGAGGGTGAAGAGGGAGGGGAGAGTTCTGGGAACCACTCGTTCAGTGTCCCTTTGTTGAGGGTCCACCCACCATGTCCCGGGGACTGTGCTGTAGATTCTATACTGGGTATCACCTCGAAAACAGACAGAAACCTTAGGGTGTAGGTGCTATTTTCTCCATTTTGTAATATGGAAGCCTAACCTTGGAGAGGGAAGATACTTGTAGATTTCATGTTTGGAAATGGCACAGCTGGGATTTGAACCCAAGGCTCCAGGAACCCAAGTCCACCATTCATACAACCACATCGTAGCTGCTTCTGAGCCTCAGAAATCACGCTTAATGTCTCCTGAGGTCACTGTCTCACGCCTCACTCCAGCGTCCCCTGTTCTGCGAAGCCTTCCTGCATCTTTGTTTTGAGTTCCCACAATACTTAAATCAGAGCCGGCCAAACTGTGGGCTTCTCACTGTCTATGGTCTTACGGGACTCGATGCCTGGGCACAAAGAAATTTTGAACAAAGTGACCTTCTACCCTGGTAATTATCACGGAGAGCTGTACCTGCTTGTTTTGTTAACTCTCCTATTTGTGGCCACTGTATGTTTCCCTATCGGAAAACACATGCGGTGCACCAAGCCTTTCCTTTCCTCAGAGCCTTAGTGTTCTGTCCACGTGTGCAGCGAGACCACGCCTTGCCCTGCAGTCTCCTTACTGAGTGGTTTTACAGTTTATAACTTTAACTTTGAACTGAAGATTGTATTAATGCCTCTGTTGCTTTTGAGCCAGGGGCTGTGTCTGAAATGAATTTAAATCTGTTAACGATATAATCGATAGAACGCCCAATTCCATCCTTTTTGCGATATTTTGTGTTGCTGTGTTCCGTCACTAGGGGGCAGCATCAGCCATCAATTCATGTCTTTGGCATTGAACCTCGCAAGGATTCGTGGTCTATGGGGAAACAGGAGGAGGACTTTGCACAAAAAAATTTAGATACTGGCACATACAGTAAAACTCTGGGATCATTGCCATAGTTATCAAAACACTGGGTTCTGGTCTTGGCTGTGACTACTTGCTTGGTGACCTTGAACAAGTCACTTCTCTTGCTAGACCTCCTTGAGTAAAATAAAGGAGTTGAACCACATTGACTATAATGTCATCTCTGATTCTCATTCCTTTGGCATCTAAATTCATCTGAAAGCCAACTGGTAGAAAGGTCTTTTGATGGCATGATGTGGAATTCTATTTTACTTCTTTTCAACCAAGCTCGTGTTTCTGGATATACATGTTCAGTCACCTCTGTATAATTCTCTCTTTTCTTGGGTAGTTTATTGTATTTTGTTATAAATGCCTTCTTCTGTATGGTATGCTTGCTTGTCACCTCAAAAGAAATTGGTTTAGAGTTTGTGCTTGGTTTACATTTAAGGCCAAAAGAAATTCATTTTAGTCTCTTCTATTCTCAGCATTAAGAAGCAAAGTCACATCACATTTGAATATTACAGCTAGCCTCATTTGAAAAGAAGACGATTTCTTTTGACTCTGGGGTTAATGCTGATGGTTCATCACAAACAACTTATACCCTGTATATTTTGCTACTTTGCCCTCAAGTAAAACTTTTATCCATTTTTAGAAATGAAAATAAAGTCAAGCTTCAGGGAAGATAAGTTCTTAAAATCTGACGGTTTCCAGATAATGTCAGAATATGATTATAAGAAAAATGACACAAAATATATATTAACATAAATCTATAACTGCTCAACTTGATGAAAAATATCACCATAAAATTCTGCCATTACTGAACCACCCAATATGTTTTTTTCTATGACATTTTATGAGAGTGAATAAATTATCTGAGAATGTGTTTGCATCAAAAACACAGAAGTTTGTAATAAACACATAAATCATTGAAGCATTTTGTAGGAAGATGTCTGATCTTAAAAATGGAGGGAGCTCGTATTAATTTCCCCCTCCCAGTTTGCTTCTCTGCGCTGTACCTTAGAGTTCTGGGTGGTGATGAAGAACCATCACTTATGGAAGTATGGGAAGAGGTAAAGTAAACGATTCTTATTGAAGTTTTCCACACGACCTCCGCCCCCTCCCTACGAGGCTCCACTTCCCTAAGCCTTGCTTTCCTAGAGGTCCTGTTTGTGGCTATGGCCTCAGTTTACCTGAGTAAACTGAGTGGTTATCTCAGTTAGATCCTCAGGGATCTATTTTTAAAAAACAGTCCTACTTCTGTAGCCATGGTTCCCATACATCAGCCAACAACCCCTATAAAATTGACAGCACCTCTTTAACTCTGAAAGATCTGTCCTTGTTGCTCTCCCTGAAGACTTGGTTTGCTTTTTGTGTTATGGGCAATTAATATACATAAAGAAGTATGATCCCCTTTTTTGCTGAGTCTATCGGGAAGCTCAGAGGCAAATTAATATCTTAATCTTAATAGAATGGAGGAGTGATGTGTGCCTGAGGGTCCTAAATTTTATCTTTGTCGTATAGTCTATCTAGATTTTTCTATGATTTTTATTTTAATTTTCTTCTATTTTACTATGCAAGTTTCTGATAGCTACTCCAAAATCTTTGTGTGGTGAGACAAAGTGTAGATAAAGAAATGAATGAATGCTTGTGGTATTGCGAATTATAATAAGGAGCATACATTTGATCTTGGTTCCTGTATCTGGGTCAGAGCTCTTAAATCCCTTGAAATTTCCTGAGTGCCGAGAGCTTTAAAGGTGTCTATTGTTAGGTTAATGAGGCGAGTTTTAGACCACACCTACGGATGGAGGCTGGTCACCTGAGAAGCTACCCAGATGATTAGAGGGTTGGGACTTTCAATCAGACAGAGTTGGAAAGGGGAGAGCTCCTGGAGACAAAGGTCAGTCACGACAATTTAATTACCGTATTCTTCCTTGTACAATGAGCACTTCCTGTCCAAATTTTTTGGGGAAAAATAAGGATACTCATTATACATGGGCAGTACTAATTCTGTATCTGCTTAACTGTTTTTAATTCTTTTATTTATGTTTATGCATTTCAAGTGTAACTGTAGAAAGCAATAATGATATCAGTATGCAAAATGCTACCCTGGAATATGATAAGTGGTTTTGTTTTTAAATATAAATAAATAAAAAATTGAATACAAAATTAAAACAAAAGATTTTTTTTTCCTGAAAGTTTGAGCCAAACACTTGGGCTGCTCATTATGCACTGGAGCACTTTTGCATGGCAAAATACAGTACTCTTTGTAGTGAAGCCTCCATAAAAACACCCCAGGATGGGGTTAGGAGAGCTGCTGGTTCGGTGAACATGTGGAAATTCAGGAAGCACGGAATCTCTTTACCCTTCCCTCGTCCCTTGCCTTGTGTGTCTCTTCCACCTGGTTGTTCCTGAGTTACATCCTTTTATAATAAACCAGTAATCTAGAAAGTAAAATATTTTTCTGAGGTCTGTGAACCATTCTAGAAAGTTAATCAAACCCAAGGAGCGGGGCATGGGAACTTCCAATCTATAGCCAGGTGGTCGGAAGCGTGGGTGACACCTGGACGTGAGACTGGAGGGGGTGGAGGTGGTCTTGTAGGACTGAGCCCTTCACCTGTGGAATCTCAGGTTACACGTCTGGGTAGGTCAGGTCATATCTGAACTGACAGGTAGACGCCCAGGTGGTGTCTGCGGTGCTTGGTGGTGTCTGGTGCAAAACCCCCAACCACACATTGAAACTGGGATCAGAGCCGTCTTAGCAGTTAAACAGACATATTGATGAGTAAATGAGTGGTCGAAGAAGCTTCTGTCATCAAAGCGAAGATGGATCTCTCTAGCAAACTGTGAAAAAACAGGGGCTCCGGGCCTGGGGACGAGGACAGTGCCGCAGCTCTGAGCCCCGTCCCTGTCCTTCCCCCACACCCACGCCCCTTGGTGGGTCGGTCCTTCATAAATAACCTTCCGTAAGTTACCCTAATTTGAAGGTGCCCTCTGTTTCCTTTTAAGATCCTGTTACCCATTAAAGAAAATGTGATGTGAGTAACATGTTATAGAATGTAGCAGTAGACACACAGAAGGTGAATTTGACAGGTTTCAATGATCAGGAAATGGAAATCATGGGGTTGCCAACTGAACGTTGTCAGGGAAGATGGGGGTGGAGGGAATAATGTGAGAAGCTATAATGGATACAATCCCATTGAATTTCTTCACTGTCCTCTATCTGTGCTCCTAGCAATACTGAAATGGATTATTTCCCTCTGCTTCCTACCTGTATCTTTATCTCTAAATTGAGTTGCTTTGCCTAAAGCTTTAATATCTGTTTTCATATTAATTAATCAACAATTTAAAATTAGATTTCTATCTTGCCATGATTTTATTGGCTGTATGCTTAGAAAAATAACTTAGTATATGGTTAACCCAATCCATGTGTTTTAAAACCATTTCTTTTTGAAATTGCACAACACAGAATATGAGTTTTCACAATTTCTTCATCAATAAAGTAAGGTGATAAAAAAGCATAAGATATGTGAGAATATTTCTAAAATTAGTTATTTCATGAAAGATGAAAGTTCAATAGATCACCTTGTTTAAGAAAATCCATGGCCACAAACAAAAATGCAAGAAGATTTTGGAAGCAAAAAACTATACTTACGTGTCAAACTTTGTGACTTGACTTTACTGCTAACATGCTGGCTTCTGATGTCCTTGGAAATGTGTCTGTCCACCTGTAGAAGAAAACAGGGCACCATTATCTCTTAAATTGTGACTGTGATACCATCTAATGTCCTACTACTCTGTGTGGTTAGATTCCCAAGAATAAAGGCATCTGGACCCATCATTCTTAGAGATCCTCACATGTGTATGTTTGGCAGTCAGTATGTGCAAGTATGTATAGATGTGTGTACCGCTTGCCAGAGGAGCGTAGTGGCCTTGGGTGGTATTTGTCATAAAAATACTTGGACTTGAGATCCAACCCTGTCTCTCATTGCTATGAAATTTTGGGAAGGCATTTAGATCTAAGTGCATGAGCCTTAGATTTTTCATTGTTACAATAGGGAAAATACTTAGTCAATTCATGTTGTTGACCTATTATGAAGATGAACATACAGGATCAAGTACACTGAAAATAATTGAGCAGGTAGATCAGCGTGTGGCCCCTTTGGAATGCCTGGGTTGGGATTTCACCCCCATCACGTGCTAGCTAGGACATGTGGCTGGTCACTTGACCTTCTGAGCCTCAGTTTCCTCATCTGTGAAATGGAGGCAACAAAAGTACTGACACCTCAGGAGGGAGGAAGGGTTACAGGAGACACATCATGCAAAGTGCCTAGAAGAGGGAGTGGATTGGCATCACATAAGCTTGATAATGGTTAGCTGTCACTGTTAATATTATTAAAGGCATTAACGAACTATCGAGGGCTGTCCAATTGCTAGACATGAGGGTGTTGAAGATGATGAACATAGCATAATGGCACCCCATGCCTTTGGAAATCTTTAAGCCTCTGTCAATATTGGGCCTATGATGGTTAATTTTATGTGTCAACTCGACAGGGCCTCCGATATTTGATTACCTACTATTTCTGGGTGCATCTGTGAGGGTGCTTTCAGATGAAGTCGGCCTTTGAATCAGTAGACTGTGTAAAGCAGGCGGCCTTCCCCCATGTGGGCGGGCAACATTTGACCTGCTGAGGGGCTGGGTAGAATTAAAAGGCAGAGGAGAAAATAACTTGATCTGTAGACCTGACTGACCTGGGACATTGGTTTTCTCCTGCCTCTCACTGCGATTCGTACCATCGGCTCTCTTGGTTCTTAGACCTTTGGACTCAGACTGGAACTTCCTCCAATGAACGTCCCGAGTCTCTTGTTTTCAGACTGTAGACTGAAAGTCTCCACAAACACTGTTTTATTTATATGGATGTGTGTATAAGTCTGTAGGTCTATAGCTCTCTCTCCCCTGTGTTTCTAGAGAAACCTGACTAACACAGGGCATCAGAGTGCCTCTTTGTTGGCACCAAGTCGAGGTGGCCAAGGTGGATGGGAAAGATTGTCCCTGAATCCCATTACCTCTTTGATGTTCAATGCCCACCCCTGTCCCGCTGTGGAACATTGAGCCACCGTATTTATGCTTGGGAAGGGCGTGGCTCCTCAGCTCGTCAGTCTAGCCAGGAATTGAGTGCGGTCTGGATTTTGTCATTGCTATGGCTTCTTCCATTGCCTCTTAGCTTCCAATCCCCCCAGGGTTACCCTGTGGCAGCTGGGGTGCCGGAGGCTTATTTCAATGTCCTTGTTGCGCCCTCAGCTTGCAGCCCTCCTTGTGCGCCTGCCCCAGGGACGGGGTCTCTCTCGAGACTTTTGCCGACCTCCCCTTGTCTGTTTGGTCACGGGAGAAGGAGAGTGCTCCACGGCCTCTGTCTTAGGTGGGCTCTGCTGTCTTAGGGCTTCAGGACTGGGGCTTCCATAGGTCCCCGTTCATCTTACATTTTGTATCTTTGCTGGATCTTTTACATGAGAGAGTTTCTTTAACTCCCCCCGGCAGTGGGTGCTCTCTGATGGTATTAGCATAGGATCCCTTGCTCAGGGGCACTCCCATCTCCTATCAGATAAATACTTATGAGCACCTGCTACCTACCTGCGAGGATGCTAGATTGTGAGGAAACAAAGAGGAACCCTGGAGTCTGAGAGAGGATTCAGAGCTGCACACGGGTCCGAGTTGCAACATACTGCCCACCTTACAACACAGGTTTGACCGTGACGCCGGTTTCCTGGTCTCGGCCTGTTGGGGGTTGATAATTCATAGGGGTTGCGGGGGTGCTGCACTGTGCCGCGTGGGATCCTTGTCCTCTGCCCCCTCGATGTCCGCACTGCCCGCCCCCCCGGTCTCCAGACAGTGCCAATCGTCCCCTCGGGGCAAACCATCCTGGAGGAGAACCACGGGTTAAATGCAATGTGTTGTTGGTGTTAAAGACGGCTTCCCCCAAAGTCTCCTCCAAGGTGCCTGGCTGGGCTCAGTGACAGCTCGGAGCTCTCTCTGCACCCTGGGCTCACCCCGGGCTGATACTTCCTGCTGCTTTGAAACTGTCAGGCTGGGCACCTGCCTCCTCCACGAGAGTGGCCGCTGGCCCGCCTTTTTGTCCCCAGTGCTGAGCGCAGTGCCGGTCCTCGGGTCCTCGGTCGGTGTTCAGAACTGGGAGGTGGGCGGCGGTTTCATGGTCTGGGGCGGGAGCCAACCAGGGAGTCTGGAGAAAAACTGGCCTCGGTGAGGGCTGTTGAGGAGCTGTGTCGCTGGTGGTTTTGTCTCAACAGAAACTCGCAGAGCTAATAAGGATCAGCTCCTGAGAGTGAGGTTATCGTGAAAACATAACCAACCGGCTTACCATAAAAACTTGCTTATTCAAACGTTGATTATGAAAGTCAAACTCCCTCTTTATCTGCATGGAGGCCAAGTCCTTATCTAATTTCTAAGACGATTTCTCTCCCGGCCAAGATTGGGCTCATGCCTCTCATCTCCTTTTTCTCACGGGGTTTCCCTTGCCTTGATATGCGGAGATTGTAGTGCCACTTGCTAAGTGGTCCAGCTGAAGAAAATGTGTTTTGTAATAAAAGAAACAAAGATAACCTGAAAGAATAGAAAATAATACGCGCGGAGGCCTAAATTCTGGCAGAGTTATTTTAAAAAGTCAAAGGAGAAGCATCTCTAAAACTACTTCTTACGAAGGTTGAGTTACACGTACGGGGCCGATGAGTCCGTGATTCTTAGGGAAAGGAAAACTCGTCTTCCTGGGCTGGTGTCCTCTGCTCCTTCATAACCAGGCCGGGCCTGGGGGCTTGAATGTCTGGGACGGTTGCTCCAAAATTCGTCTCGTTCCCTGAATACGCTTTGTGCGCTAGCGATGGTGCCCTGCAGTGTCCTCGTCCCTGTCACACAGCCCCGGGGCTCACCCTGCGGCAGATCTCAGTGACTGCAAGCCGTCCCGGGAGGATGTAGGAGGACAGACTGGTGAAGGGGTCCACGTGAAGAGGAGTCAAACTGGGGAAAGACAGCTATTCATAGTTCAAGGTTCTGTGCAAGGAACTGAGAGTTGGTCCCTTGTCACCCATTGAACCACAATCTATCGAAAACCTCTTATGCGAGGGCACCGTTCTAGGTGCTGGGGCTAAAACGGTCCCTGTGCTCTACTGGCGACCGCTGCGTGACAGGCGCTGTGTTCTGTTCCGTGCGTATTACCACACCAGCCATGAGGTCTTACAGCCGAGGGTTCCTGGCCCAAGCCGGCGGAGCTCATCAAAGCTGGAGCTCTGAAAACGGGGATGACCGTGTTCCTCTTGCAAAGGTATTTAAATCTCGCTCATTCACTCCAGGCTCTACACAGAAAGACCTTCCTAACTCCCCTTACCTGGCTTTAATCATTTTTTCAAAGCACTTGTCGCTTGACATATTGTTCAACAATCCGTTGCTTATTTACTTGTATTTGTGATGTATGTAAGTTTCCACTAGTATGTAAGTTTCCTGAGAGCAGGGAGGTGCGTACCAGAGCCTATCGCTGTGTCTGGTCCACGGCAGGCACTCGACATGTGTTTCTCGAGTGAATTTGTCGAGTGAATGGTTACAGTGTTTAGCATGGTGCCCGCGCAAAGAAGGGGCATCAATATTTCACCCCCATCTTGCTCCCCCAGTCTCTCCTGGGTGCGTTCTGTGTCAATGACATTGTTTGGTAAAAGTTGTAACTTCCTTTTCTTGTCATGTTAACAGAAGCCCTCAAGTTAAACAGGTAATGTGAAAAAATAATGCACAAGGAAGAATGTGCTGTATGCAAAAGCATGTCCGCATTCACCAATAAATGGGGGACAGATTAAAAAAAAAAGAACAGTGAAATCGGTTAAAAATGCTTTAAAAAATAATAGCTGTTCTTGGCTGTATGTGGTGGACATTCCCACACAGGGCTTCTGGGCGGGTAAATTAAATAAGTTTTGAGGATAGAAATTTCACAATATACACCAAACGGCTTTACAGTGTTTTCGCTCCATGGTTAAGGAAAAATAATTAAAAATTCCATAATGGGGTATATCTGTAAAGATTATGCTTATTGATTATCGCATGGGAGATTGTTTTATAACCAGAATATAATGTGAAAGGAAAAGACAATCTGGTGTGTACTATGCAACAAGACTCCCTTGCATGGAATATGTCTGCATAGAAAATATTGGTGGGAAATAAACCCAAACATTAGGACTGAGAGCCCTGCCGCCCCAGGGGTGACTAATAGGTATTTTACGCATTTATGCATTAGAAAATTAAGCATTAGCAAAAGCGTTATTCAAAATAAAGTTCTATATGTGCGTTGAGAGCATTTGCAAGGAATTTTCATAAGATTATCTTTGTAGCCTGCACACAGCCTTCGAGGCAGGTGCAGTGAGGATCCATATTTCTGTTCCGTAGAGGAGGCCACAGGCAGCCATGGCCAACGCTGGGCCTCGAATCTGGGCACAGCGATACGTTATTTATTATCAAAATGGTCTGAGTTCGCGTTCTGCTTGTGGAGAACGGGGTGGGTACTGGGTGGGGTGCACGTGGAAGCCTGGCGCTGGCTCACGGCCAGTCCTCGGCCACCGTTCGCCCTCTTCCCTCCATGGGACCTGGGCCCACCGGTCCCACGGGCTCAGCCACCCACGCCCGACGAGATGCCCTGGAAGGAAGGGGGGCCCCGGCTGCCAGGAAGTGCCCTCCGCGTGCCTGGTTCGCAGAGCCCTGCCTTTACTCACGTCGTCCAGCTTCATCTGTGTGTGCCAGCTTCGCGCCTCTGCAGGGAGAGACATCTTGCCATCTAAGGAGAGGGGGGAGGCCACCGCATCCTTCAAACAGCGCGTATCTGTGAAAAGGGTAAACATGGAAGTCATACCCTGCATGCACTCAGCACACAACAGCTTGTAAAATTTTTGCACCAGTGCAAACTCACTGAGTCGCCAGGACCAAAGTGTGAGGCAGGCGATTGAACCTCTGCTCCACAGATGAGGAGCCTGAGGCACAGAGAGGAGAAATCGCTCCAGTCCCTCATGTAAATGCCAAAGTCTCCCCCCGCCCCCCGCCCCGCCCCGGGGGATTCCTCTCATCCTTCAAGGGCTGGGCTGCATCACACCGTTTGAAAACCCTCCTGGAGCCCCACCCCCACCCCCGCTGTCCTTTCTGTTACACACACCTAACACATTCCCTCCTGTCTATCTGCTGATCGGTCTCTTTCTGCCATGACGTTGCGACCTTCCTGAGAACGTGGATTAGGTTTTGTGGATCTTTGTGCCCCTTGGTCACTCCTGACAGGATGACACTCAGGAAGTGCCTGCTGAGCCGATGAACTGAGGAATATCGTCCTTATTTACAAGGTGACTCTGTTCGAAAGAACTTCCCGTGGATTCGTGTCAGTGGGTCAGCCCCTCAGACACCCCAGGACTTTCTCTCAGGAGCTGCTACCTCTCAGGCTCCGGGAACTCACTGAAGCTGCCTCCTGTGCCCCCGTTAGAGAGGAAAGCGGGTGTGGACTTAGCTCTCCCTTCCCCTTAAGATGCTGGGCTTTCCGGCCGCGCCCTCCTGCCCCTCACAGCCGGCTACCCGCAACATGGATCGGCCCAGGGGAAGGTCTTCCTTTCACTCTCTGCAAACGGTCTGACGTCCTCCGTGCTGCCCGCCTCTCGGCCTGCCTACCCTCTGCCACGCTCAGCACTCATTCCTCGGCCTCGAGGACATCATCATGACAATAACACCCAGTAGTCGCACCCTCGGCCGCTGCCAAGCCCTCTCGTGGGAGCGTGGCATTCCCCGCACACGGCACCCTCGGAAGACTCTCTGGATGAAGTTCTGTTATTAGGGACCCTGCTTTTCAAACAGGGAAACCTTGCTCCTTGTCCCACCTCTCAAAAGCCCTGGAGGCAGGGTTGTGACCCGGGGTTATTGAACTCGGGACCCACAGTGTTAATGACTGCGCCATACGGCAGCATGTCAAACGAAACGTGCACGTGCAGATTTCAGATCCCAGCCGTTACCTGCATATTCGGATTCCTTTAGAGGCCTGGCTGGTAGAATTTTCATCAGTTGCCACGGCCCGGCCATGGGAAACCCGGGGGCTTCGTAGTCATCGTCCCTGGGGTCTTTGGCTTCATCCCCGACTTGAGCGAAGCTCCTCTCCTAAGCAGGAGGGGAGAGTAGAGTGAGTCCAGGGAGGGCGCCAGGATGAGAGAGATCCCAGGCCACGGTGCTAGCCGGGGGGTGGCGTGGGCTCTCTCAGGTGGGAGGTAAGAGTCTGGGCTCGAGGGCAGTGGAATTCCTGTGGTGGGCAGAATTCTAATGATGTCCCCCAATAGTCCCATCCTTTCATAGTCAGGCAAATGATTATCTGGATGCTGCTGTGAGGGGTCATTGCAGACGTAATTAAGATTACAAATTACCTGTCTTTGAAACGCAGAGAGGTCATCCTGGATTATCTGACTGCGACCAGTGTAATCACCTACACCCTCAAAAGCAGAAAGGGGGTCTGTGTGCAGGTGGCATGACCTTGTATGGAAGAATTCCCAAAGAGCCCCCTGGAGAATTATTGGAACTAATAAACAATTTAGCAAGGTGGCAAGACACACAATCACTGCACAAATTTCAGTTGCGTTTTTATGTTCTAGGAATGAGCCCCAAGTCGGGACACCAGGAATGGCGGGACCGGGCACCGGTCCGCAGCAGGCGTGTCGTTGTCATGGAGATTCTGGAATCTGCGCCCGCGTGTCAGGACCTGGGGCCAGCGCTGTGCCACGTTCATACGGGGAAACGACTTCAGTGACCGCTGGTGTGCCGCACACAGGCACCCCGTGATGCTTTTTCCTTTCTGGGTCTCAGAACGCTCACCTCTCGCCTCATTTGTAGAAGTGACTTTTGTCTTTACGTGCGCCCCAGAGAGAACCCAAGCGTCACGCTGGTCAATAGTGCTGACGTCTTGAGAGATCGAAGCAGAGCGTCCTGTGATGTCCCACTCTCAGAAGAAGGAGATGGAGTCGTCTCCAAACGAAAGGTGCAGGCGGCCCTGAAACGCTGATTCGCCCTGTCTGGTTGTCTCCTTTGAGCGTCTGTCCTATGTCACAGCATGTGGGTGGCCGCAGGCCGCTGTTGGGCTGGGAGGGGGCCGGCAGTTGGAGGGAGGCAGTGACACATGCTGGGAAAATCTTTGACGTCTTCCAGCACATCCTAAGATTCCCAGCAGCCATGGCCAGGAATGATAGGTCCAGCTTGGCGAGATTTTTATGCACCTTCCCCAGTCTGGCCTTTAAAATAGTGAGCTTTTATCTTTCTTTAACAAATACAGAAGCAGGTCATAGGGTTCCCTGGCTGGGGAGAACCACAGCCGCACAGGAATCCAGTGCCAGGTCCTGAAAACTGTTCTGCGCCCTGAAAGTGGAGGCAGAGAATTTGGGGTGCTCCTTCAGTGACGGCATCCATCCATCTGACTTCTCATCGGACAGCAGTGGCAAGTGGGGTGAGCTGGGCTCAGGCCCTGCCTCGCTGCTCTGCAGAATTTCACTTCTTCTCAGCCGATCCCAGCCGTAAGAGCGACAAGGCGTGGGGCACGCGTGGGCCCTGGCTCTGGACTCCCAGTTTATTTTCCATTCAGTGGCTGAAAACTTAAAATCTTAAACTGCTTTGTGGCCTTAACTAGATCTAGGTATTTTGCGTATACAGTAGATTCTTAATATGTGCTTGTTGAATAACTAAATTTAGGGTGTAATCCTTCCTATGTGTATAATTAAAAATTTTACATTAATGCTGTAATTCATCTAGTTATAGAGACATCTTTACCAAAGGCTACTTCAAATTTATTTTTGAATTAGATGGTTATTCTAATTCACACCCGCTGGAATAAATAGCATCCCACATGGTCACAGCGTGACTTTGACAAACAGAAGTGTCTTAAATGAGACAGTGCATGTCACATTTTGAGCAAAATGCCGACGTCAGCGCTCAGTAACTGTTAGCTGCAAATATCGCTACAATTGCTGCAGTAACAACTACTATTAAAGAGAGTTGCAGGCAAGAGGAGGCCACCAATCATGCACTTTTCCTCTTCAAGTCCTGTTCACATTGGTTAAGCACTTGATACCTGCCAGGGGCTTCATGTACCTTATTTCGTGGAGTAAGCAGAAAGATCTCTAAGGTGGTTTTATTATAGTGGAAGGATCTGGAATTAGACAGGCTTTAGTTTAAATTCTAGCTCTGCATTCTTCTAGTTCTCTAATACACATGGGTATGTTGGTTACTAGCTCCAAACCTGCAAGCGTGTGGTTTTTTCTATCATCACTCCGTCAAAGCGGTTTGGTGCCAGTTACCTGATGGGTCCAATTTCCAGGTGCACAAGAGCACCGCGCGGGGAGGGTTGCTCACCCGGTCCCCATCTGGAAGGCTTTGGGGCTCCACTTTGGCTTAAAAGCAACTCCACACATGTCATACCAGGGTGCAGAATGCAGTTCAGGTCTCCACGGGGCACCACAAACAAGGAGGGGGCCCCTCAGAGGGCAATTTTGACTTTCAAGGCGCTTACCTTGATTGCCACCCAGGTGCTCCCCAAGCAGGCAAAGCAAGTCTTGAGTCTGTCTTACATGAACTGAGGAGTGAGGCAAGCCGCGCGGAGGGCAAGCTTATCAAAGCCGAGGCGCTCGGCGGCGCGCAAGGCTACGGACCCCACACAGTGCCCGGGGGGCAGGAACGAGGTCGAAGGGGAGAGGGCGCGGCCAAAAGGGGCAAGTCAAGTCGCCAGGTGTAAAGTGGAGTAGGGGCTCCCCCTATTGGGGACCTGGCCTGCAACCCAGGCACGTGCCCTACACTGGGAATGGAACCTGCGACCCTTTGGTTCACAGGTCAGGGCTCAATCGATTGAGCCACACCACCTCGGGCTGGAGTAGGGCTCTTTGCATGGTCAGGTCACCGAGACGCTGTGTGCCCTCCACGCACGGGCCCTGCAGCTGTGAAGCCCCTCCTCTCTCTCCTCCCCTCCCCTGACCCCTCCTCCCCTCCCCCCCTCCTTCTCTTCCGTCTGGTCGCAGGGGGAAGGCAGGGTCCAGGCTGGGAGCCCTGGGTGGTGCACCAGGTGAGAGCGGCACTGCCCCATCCTAGGTCTAAACTGCGGGCCCGTTTTACGACCTCGGGTGGGGGGGGGCGTTACTCAGTCCGTAAATTGGAGATGGCCAGGCCCACCTGATTTGCTTGTACTCGGAGATTAACTGAGCAAAATGCACATAAAGGCTCTCCTTGGGCCTCTGCCCATGACGCGTTAGATCTCTTCCCTCCAATCGACGTGCTGAGCGTGAGGAGAGCAGGTGGCGGGGCAAAGCTAAACTGGCTCGGGGGTCCACAGTGGCCAGGTGAAGGGGGCAAGGTGAGTGGGCTGTTCTGCTCGGGCACGGCGCGCAGGGTGCTGAGCTGGAGCACAGGCACGCGGCTCCTTCGGGAACCTGACGGATGAACGGTTGTGGCGAAAACGCCACTGATACACTGTTACCCGAACACCAAGATGTTCCTCAGGGCAGACGCTCTGGGAAAGCCCTGGACCTGCTGCAAGAGCCGGGAATGTGAGAGCAGAGCCAGTCGTCTGTGCAGCGGCCCTGCCAGGTCTCCCTGGCACGGCGTGTGGGGACGCCGGGAGGAACAGCGACTCCCCCGCCCCTGCCCCGCCAGGGGAAGCCGCGCCAGACCGTGCAGTCCTCCCCACCAGACTGAACAGAAATATTTGGGTTTCTTTCTTTCCAGGAAGGAGACAGTTTTAATTTTAATAAGTGACATCTATTTATTTATTAACCTGTTTATTACCTTCTACCTTAGAGGTTCTTAACTAAAGGGAAGGGAAGGGGCAAGTCAAGGAACATATAGCAAGGACTCATGGACAAAGCCAAAGTGGGGAAGGATTGAGGGAGGGGGGGGAGGGGGGCAGGGGAAGGTGGTGGAGGGAAGGCGGACAGAAATGTATTTGGAAAAATAAGTTAATTAAAAAAAAACACCCTCTCTCTAAAAATAAAAAAAAAATTAAAAGAGAAAATCCCCCCAAAAGAAATATAAATGAATAAATTAATAAATAAGAATTAAAATTCTCTAGTTTCAAAATGCCCATGAGTTAAGGGCTGCCATAGCAAATCTTGTAGAAACTTATATGTACACATCATAAATGAGGTTAAATTTCTCCCATTTTCTAAGATTTAGCATTTAAAGAGTCCTACATCTCAATGTAGGTCAGAAGAATAGGAGTTGCCAAGTTCATGCTTTACTTTTGTAGTTTTGCCACCTGGGGCCTAGATCAAGTTTAAATATACCACAATTTTATGCTAGCTTTATTTGTATTTTTTGATATTCAAATTATATCCAAAAAGACAAAGGCCTCATGGGAATCAATGGAAAAAGAAATAAAGTGAAACTTAAAATAACTAATTAAAATACAAGAAACCCCAGAGGACTCTGGACAATGTGAAACATAACTTTTTAATTTCACTTATTTAATAGAGCTTAACTATATTTCTTGAAAGTCATTAAACTTTGAAAAAAAGTCCAGTATTCTTTACCCATAAAACTTAAAATTAATAAAATAGTTTGTGATTGACTGATTGATTGATTGATTGTGCGTGTATGTGTGTCCTGGGGTGAAGTTCTATAGCTTTAATTAGATTTTTAAAGAAGTCTTTCAAACAGGAGAGAACCAATTATTTTATAGGCAGATTCTGTCTATCTGTCCATCCATCCATCCATCCATCTATTATCTACAGGTGTGCTAGTTAAGACTATTTAAATAATATACATATATAATTTAACTATAAAGTTATTTATAAATATTGGATAATTGAATTCTGTTATATATTTTCTCAAGTCATTAAAATTCTCTGTAAATATTGTTAATGGCTCCATGATGTGAGTATAACATATTCAACTACTTTTATATTATTGAATATTAAGCATGATTCCAGTGTGCTGCCATTTAAGATATATTATTATAAAATATAAATGAGTATGTTTAAATATTAATCCAAATTTTAGGTTAGTTCCTTAGTTTAAATTCCCAACCATAGTATTATTGGGCTGAAGAAAATGGACATTTTTCTATTGCTTAGTTAATACTATGAAATTGCTTTCCAGAAGCTTCGTTCCACTTTAGCATTTCACCGTGAGTGCTTGCTCATCACACACTTCCCAGCACAGTGTGTTGGCATGCTCACCTTATCCAATCTGCACAATGACTGTGTGAATTAATTTTTATCTCCCTTTGATAGCTGAGGAATTGACATACAGTTTTATACCCAAGAATTGAAATACAGTTTTCCCTGCCAGGAAATTATACGTTTTGAAATTTTTTTCTTTGTTTTTAATCCACCGAGTGCCTTGACAAAAAGCCAGTTATTTTGTAAATATCAAAGACTGAGAAAATAGGTAAGAGAAGCGGCTGACTTACGTAATTGAGGAGAGATTCATTAATAGTCTGGAACTGGCCTGCCAACAAAAACAGACCAAAATGTTAATGCAAAACATTGAAAAGACTGCGCTCTTGTTTTTCTCCAGAAATCTTGTGCTCATTTCACTTAATTTTTCTTGACTGTAATTGCTGAAAATGAAGTGTATATTCCTATACTTCTCACTCCACTGCTCTCGCAAAAACGGAGCAATGGAAAAGAAGGAAAGAAAATCAAATCCAAACGAAGAGGCCTCACTCTTTCCATAGCAGGTTAACATTCTCACAGGAGGAGGAAGACTCCTCCCCCACCCACCAGTGCACCCAGGTCCCCTCTCCCCGGAAGGTGTCCCCTCTCCCCGGAAGGCGCAGTGTGTCGCATTTGCAATCGGTCCACGCCTCGGTCTCCTTGGACACACTGAGAATGGGGTCCTATCTAGTCATCTATCCCCAGCTCCAGGCACAAGGCTCAATATTGACCAGATGAATTCTTTTATGCTTTTTCTTTTTAATCCTCATTTGCCTGAGGACATTTTTTTCATGGCTTTAGAAAGAGAGAGGATGGTGGGGGGTGGGGGTGGGGTGCAGAGAGAAACATCAACGTTTGGTTGCCTTCTTGTGCAGGAGACCAAACCTGCAACCTGGATATGCGCCCTGACCGGGAATTGAACCCGAGACCTTGGAGCCCCATCCGTGGTCCACTGGACGGAGCTCCCACACAGGCCAGGGCCAGATGAGTCCTTCAGAAGCACTGTCAAATGCATGTTGTTCAGTTGAAGCTCCTCGGCACTCCACTCCCGCACTGGGACTTGCTCTGTGAAGGTTGGTGGAAGGTGCTCAGGGTGCACTCACTGTCCTGTTTGACATTTTACTCTCAGGTTATGAAAACCAGCAAAGGGCTGCTCACTGGCCTGCAGGGTGTTTTTTTTTTTTGCTTCTTCATAGACTTAATTTTCTTTAATTGCCCTGCAGTTTCATGTTGTTAGTCTGCAGGAGGATCATTATAAGCAGAAAATGTTCTTATCATACTCTCTTCATTAGCACACAGGTGAGAAGTTTCCTGCAGGTTTGTCTTTGCAATTGGTTTGCATCGATTTGATGGAAAACAGCAATCCCATGAGAAACTGTATTTCCCTTTCTCCTTTGGCTGCTGTGAATCTCAGGGCGCAGATCTGGCCTGCGTCTAGGGAGTGTAAGAGGACCATGGTATGATAGGTATTTCTACATCTTGGTCTGGCTTCATCATTTTAAAGAACTTTTGGCCTTTTACTCTGAAATCTCTTCCCATTCCAAAATACGAAATTCACAGTTGTGAATGTGCGTCAGCATTCCCAAGTCTTCTGGAGGGTGTAGGGTGTGAATGAATGGAGGTTTGGCTCCATGGAAACAGCTTTCTGGAATTTGAGGGACCTGTGCTGGTGGGGAGTGGGAGGGGTGTTAATTAGCTAAACTAATCTTGCAGGTGTGGAGCTGGGAGGTGCAGAATCCTGCCTGTCACCTGTCCCAGCGCCCCCTGGTGGTGGGACTAGCAGCTGTCACTATCCTGGGGAACTAAAGCACACCTTCCTGTCCCAGCACAATTACGCCGGCCCAGAGATCGCTGGAAAAGAATCCCACAGCTTTCCCAGGCCCTCCAGAGCTGCGATTTGTACCGTTTCATGAACTGAGTGAGAGCAGTGAGATCGCCCATAGACACCAGCTGGCCTGGAAGGAGCCAACGACCCCGGGTTCATTGGGGATCTGCTCTGGCCCTCGCGACCTCAGACAGCAGCCCCACCGCCGAATTCAGGGTCTCACATAGTTCCACTTCAGGGGATCGCCCTCACGAAATGCAGTCATTTTACTGGCATCCCCACGGTAAGCTGGGGCCTCTGCTCTCAGCAAAAGCCAGCATGGCTGCCTGAGACTCTCCTGGGGTCCCCAGATGTGCTTTATGCCACTTCTGGGTCTTTGTGTGCTCCCACCTGGAGCCGCTGACTCACCCTCCCCTGATCACTGCAGGCTTCTGGGCCACGACTGAATTGTCAGAGCAGCTCATTTCCTGTCTCGCTCACCGTGACACATCAACATTATAAAAACCAGGGAGCATCCGATTGCTTCTTTGTTGTGAACAAAGGCTGTCCATCTTGGGGGCAGGAGTCGTCTTTGTCTCTCTCGTCTGCAGAACCTCTCTGTGTGCGTAACAGTGATGCATCTGGGACATGTACTTATAAAAGGGCTGTTCACAGCTCATGAAACACAGCCCAGGTTCCCTGCCGTGGCCCCGAGCCCAGCCCGGCCCGGCCCAGCCTAGGCCCTCTCCCCAGTGTCCTGCCTTCCCAGTCGCTTCCTCACGGAGCTGTTGCCATCCAGCCTCTCCCGGTCCCTCCGGGACATCGAGCTCCTTCCATCTCAGAGACGTCGCCTGTGCTCTTCCTCAGCCCGGACCATCCGTCCCTCCGCTCTGCCCTTGCTGTCAGACCATATCTTATATGACGTCTCCCTCAGGGGACTGTCCCTGGCCACCAATCTCAGGTGAAAATCAAGAAGCAGCGTCTTTCCAGCCCAGTCCCCATCACTGCAAGCTCCGGGTGTGGCGGTGAGGACGCTGTGTGCGCACCAGCCCCGAGCGCGCATGCGTGTCCCAGCAGCCTTGCCCTGGGTGGCCGTGGCGGGCAGTGTGGCCGCTGGGATGTGGAGCATGTGATGGAGTCCACTCCAGGCTGGCCCGCTGGACCCTCCACGCTCTCGTTCTTTTCTCAAGGGCTGGCCAGAGACAGAGGACCCCAAAGCCCTCAGGGATAATGGAAGCCACTGGGCAGAAGCAGCGTGTTTGGAAAAAGACCTCTTTTGATCCACATTGGATTGTGATGTGGGCAAGATATAACCCTTTATGTTCTTAAAACTGCTAATGTTTGTAGTTTACACATGACAGACATGAGCCTTCCCTGATGAAAAGTCTTTCTCGTTTCTCCATAGCATGTAGGAGCAAAGCCAATAAACACCTTGCTGCAGCCTGGGGCGCCTGCCTCCCCCGCAGCGGTGAGATTTCGGGCTCCGTGCATCGCAGGCGCGTGATCAATGGGCTGTGAATTACAGTGAGGGGTGCGGCAGAAACTCCCCAGAACGGGGACGCTGGACCGCCTCTCTCGCAGAGTAAACTGGAGATGGATCCTTCCTTTTGCTGGACCCCTGATCCCCACCAACCTGGCACCCCCAAACGCTTCCAAGTCTTCGAGTCCCCCGGAACTGAGGGACAGGTTGGCTTCTCAGAGAGCCATTTTCTGAAGGGACGAACAAAGCCACTCTTCACACCGCCGCCCTGGAAGAGCTCTGCTCGGGGACAGTGGTGGGTCAGCCATCAGCACCGACCCCGGGGAGCCCCAGAGAATGCCGACTTCTGCGCTGCTCGAGGATGCGTCCTTTATGAGAGACAGTGGTCCCTCAAGCTTCTTTTTAAGAGGGACGTGAAGACGTGTGTCCTGAAGAGGCTCAGAGGCTTTCCTGACAGGCGGAAAATTAGCCCAGGTTTCGATTGTCAACTTGGACACCTCTTCTCATGCCCACAGAGGTGTAACAAAGGCGTGTGGCCAACGCCCATCCAGTTAAGGTCCCCTGGCCATGTTCATCTTGGGTGTGGGGAAAAGAGGAAACAGGAAAAAGCAGGCCCCCAGTATAAACTAATTGCTGTCTGCACAAACTCCCATGGGGCTGTGTATTCACACTGTGGTTTGAGAACTACTGACCCAGAAGCTCCTGCTGCCTTCCATTAGAAGCTGGGCCAGGAAGACAGAGTGACTCTCTGGCTATTTTCACTTATAAACATGCCATGAACTTAAGCCCCTGGAAGCACAAGACTGGTGCCTTGCCTGTGCCCCACTTACAGGGACAGGGGAGCTGGCCCAGCCGCAAGTACTGTTGCCATGGGATAGTCACACTTGGAAAAAATTCCCCAAGCAAAACCAACTTTTGTTTTCCTTTCTTCACAAGATTTTGGAGGGTGGGGGTGGGGATAGAGGTAAGCAGAGGGTTCGAGTTGCCTCCAGCTCCAGGGGGCTTCCCGCTGGATCCACCCATCAGTTTGTGGTGAAGAGCAAGAGGCCGGTGAATTCCCAACGCGCATCCCCGCGTGCCGCGTGGCAGAGACGGCTGCGTGTCTGCCCCGCCCGTTTCCCCTTTCTTCTCGGTCCTAGGACCCCGTGGGTTAGCTGGGCACAGGGCCGCTGAGAGGCCACACGTACCACAGCTCCTCACAGCCCTGGCAGACACACGGGGCCAAGAGTCCAAGGACCAGTCGATGAAAGAGGTGGAAAGTCAACTCGGAGTTTCCTCCGGTGACACCGCTGTGTGCCGCGTATTCCTTCTTTTCCTCCCTTTGCTTCTCCTGCTGGTCGGATTGCAGGCGTCACTCTTTCAGGGGGTGGGTCAAAACCCCATTCGAGGACAGGGCAGGAGGGGCCCGGGCTGCTTGCCTCTGGACTTGACCGCCGGAAGGAGAAATGGGCCTCTGTCGTGCATCGGCCTCAGGATTTCTCTTCGAAAGTGTCTTGCAGCCTTTCATGATTTGTCAGCTTTGGAGCTCACCCACGGACACCGCAGAACCTCCAGTCAAAGGCGCGAGCCCATTTTTCATGGACGCTGAGCGAGAAGTTCTAGGTTCAAATCCTGGCCTTGTCGCTTTCTGGCCATGGGCTCCCAGGCAAGGCTGCAAGCCTGGGTTAACTGAGGTCCGCTGTAGAAGGGGAATGTAGCGTCTACCCCAGGTAGCTGTTGAGAAGTTGAAAAATGTAACTCCCAGGCTCAGCGCCCCACTCATGAGTCGCTGTGTTCTGTGTTTCACGTCTTTTCAAGTTCAGCATCGCGACCAAGTCTTTTTCCCTCCGTCCGGATCCTCGGTACTCTCTGCTTTCATATCCGTAGTAGAAAACTGTTTAAGATTTTCTGTTCATTTTAGAAACAAAAGGTGTCTTTTTCAACATTCACCTCTGCTGACAGGTTCCTGTCGTCTCTTCACAAGGGTTCCTCAAGCTGGAGTCCCTTCCAGATGTGAGGCTCAGGGACTCAGGGACCGTCACCATCTGGTTGATCTTCTCATCTTAAAGATGGAAAAAAAACCCAAACCCAAAACAAAACCCAAACAACCTGGGGCCAGACGTTTGGCATATAGCTCCGAGGGCACGGTGACAGACCTGGGTCCCCCTCCACCGATCTCCCCACGTGCTGAGTCCTCTTGGGCTCTGTTGACCTGATCTACATGGTGAGTGTAGCCAAATCCCTCCCTGCAGCTGGATTGCACGAGTTGATCGAACGCCTGCCCCAGAGCAGGGGCCTCACTCGCTACCAGTCAGCGCCTTCCCGTTTTCTCATTCTCAGGTCCTCGAACTTGCCGATGTCATGAGAGGACCAGCCTTCAGATTCTGGGCGCCAGCCTCACAGCCTTGGGCCCTTTGCTGCCCCCCTGCGCCGCCTTTCTTCCTTTTTCTCTTTTAGGCACTTGAAGGGATCCGAGAACAGAGGCATCAGCCGTGATGAGGAACGGGACTGCCCACACCCTGTGCCCTGGCGGGTTCCCAGCTTCAGACCGCCGGTCTATGGCTGTAGGCGAAGGCAGGCACGAACTTCTTCATACTGTGTTTCACTCCCTCTGAGAGAAGGATGATAATATGCAACAGCCCTGGGCTGTATGACTTGTACTTGGGAAGAAGAGAAACAACAGCGAGGAAAAGCAGGAAGGAGAGGAAGAGAAAGAGAGAGAAGGAGAGATAGATACAGATGATACCTATATGTCTAATATGGCTGTTATATGTATTTGTTAAAACATACATGCATATACAGGGGAGGGCAAAATAGGCTTACAGTTGTTTACATAGAAAACAATACAATAATAAATAATACAAAAATAAACTCTGTGTTTTGGGTATTCACAATTGTAAACCGACTTTTGCTAACCCCTGCATTTATTTTGTCTGTCTCTCTCTATCCACCTACCTATCCACCCACGTACCAACCTACCAGCTTAGTCATCTAGCCCTTTTGGGCATTTCAGTTTTATTCACTGGACCCCAGTCTCCTGATCTGAAGATTGGACTATTTGTGTTTAAAATTTACAACTCACAAACTCACAGAAATAGCTACATGGCAAACATTTATTGGTGAGTTGGGAGAACAGGCTTAATGTTCTCACTGGGTGGCCCTTGGAAATTCAGTTCCTTTCTCTAGTTCCTAATCCCCTCACCTGTAAAGCATGGTCTTAGCATCTTAGACTCGCTGAGTCCTCAGGACCTTTTATCTTAATTTATTTTTTTAAAACCCCTGTACCCAAAGCTAGTTATAGCCTCTGTCACGTGCAGAACTACCACAGGTTGCTTGAGTGAATGGCTAGATGAATGAGTGAGTGGTGAGAGCTATGGCAGCTGCTTTTGACTTGCGATTTTTATTTATTTTTTTTTTGCGGGGTTATCTCCAGGACTTCAAATAAAATATTCTGAAACAGTTGTCCAGAGAATTGACTGCAGCTTCCTGGTGGGGACAATCTTGATAGTTTCTTTTGGCTTCAAATAGTGATTCTTAAAAGACTACCTTAGAACTACCTGAATTGGAATTATCTCATTAAATTAAAGATTCCTGGTCTCAGAAAAGCCTGTCTAGGCACAGGCCAGGGGGTGGGCTTGAGAACACGCGTCTTTAACTGTGTGATTCTGATATAAACTGAATTTTGAAGACAATTCTTAATGCTTGGGCTTACCCATCTTAGGAGATTTGAAATCTTTGCCTGTACTTACCAGAACTGGGGAAACATCTTTTCCTAGCAATTCAACTGCCAACTTTTCCCATTCATTTTTTTGTCCACCCATTTCTGTTATGTCTTGAGAGAATGGGCCTCCGCTAAATTATGCAGGTGCGGCAATGCCCAGAAAGGACCAGCAGGGGGCATTAGCTGCTCACATATTCAATACCTGGCCGTCTCCCTCTAGTTCTAAAATCCTTACTAATTTTTCTTTTAAAAGTGGAAAAAAAAAAGCCCCAGACAACCTTTAGGACTGCTTTCTTTAGAAAACTAAAAAGCAAAACAAAACAAGAGCTTCTGGACAAAATTAAATTTGTCCTCTGTTTAATTGAATCAATATTATCAGGGTTTTTATTGTGTATGGTGACTTAACAAAGAGAGACCTGTTTTCTCATTAGATCTTCTCCAATTTCATTCTTTATTCAGTAGAAGGAGAAAAACTCCTGAGCTTATTTTAAGGAAACAGTGGTACCATTCTCTCTATATCAGCCTCATAGAGGTATCGGTATTGACAAGATTGTCACATTTGAATCTGTGCCTGTCTTCTCCAGGTCTGGAGTATTCTTTATTTTTGGATAGTTTTTAGGATATGAAAATATATGCTGCTGTAGAAAAATTAAGATGCAGAGAAGCAAAAAAGAAAAAAAAAAAGAAAAAAAAAGAAAAAGAAAGAAAATCACCATAATTCTGTATAGCCATGCAACCCCCGTAAACACACACACAGGAGGTCCAGTCTGTACACATGTGGCCACGCTGCGTGCACCGCTCTCGTGGCCGCGCCCTCACAGAACCACACGCTAGGAGAGAGCCCCGGCAGTGGGCTTGCTTCCACACCATTGTTTTTAGCGGCTACATAGTATTCTCTCCTATGGATGCCCCGCCATATTTCCAACTAATCCCATGCAGGAAAAAAAATCACAGACCATTTAAAGCACTAGGAATGTTATAGACATCCCTGTGCGTGCAGAGCCCTACATCCATCGTCATGCGCGTCCTCAGTCACGGCGTCCCACGCGGGGTGGGGTGGGTCTGCGCACGCGCGGACGCGGGTGGCGGGTTTCGCCGCTGTTTTCGGCAGCGTGCGGACTCGAGTGGGTATGGGCCGGCCTGTGCAGCTGTATCGCAGTGGATCTTCTCGGGGTTTCGATTGGTTTTCTCGTCCTTGTTCGTGTCTCTAGAACGTTGTGGATGGAATGGGATACCCACCTGTTTCTCCCCACCTTTAGGCAGGCGACCAAGGTCAAGGGACAGGGGTGCAGGTCCCCTGGTTTATAACTCACCAGCCACAGCTCGAAAATAGCAACTTGACTCCCAGGCGCCCCCTTCAGCACTTCCTGTAGCCCCACAGGACTCTGAGTGGGCGGCGGGAGCGCACGTATTTGAGACCGTTTGGAGAAAGCCGATCTTGACGACCACAGCACCTGTTAGGCCCTGGCAGGGAAGCCTGACAGAAGCGTGTTCCGTAGTGGGGCTGAGAGCTGGGCGCTTGCGTTTTGCTAGATTCACACTTGCAATTTTTCTTTGGCTTTTCCCCACTCTCCCCACTGCTGCGTGGGGCATGCCACGTGCTCCGCGATGCTCCCAGGGCCAGCACGGTGGTCGAGAACCTTTGGCCTTCCCTCCTGGAGCGCAGCGCTCTGCAGGATCCCGTCGCGGCCCCGCCCCCTTCCTCCGTCCAGTTCTCCTTTTCCTCTCATTCCAGGCATCGTTTCTAACCACAAGCTTTCTAGGGAAATTCTGTGGGACTCGCCTTGAAAGGCTCCAGGATGAACAGCACAAACTCTTAGTCACACTTGAGGGGGCCCCTGTGCCCTTGTGGGTGCTGAGTGTGGGGAACTGGGTGCTGAGACGAGATGCCGGAGAAGCGTACACTGGTTTCTGATCCATTCAGCCACTCAACAGTATTTTGGGGAAAACCCATTGTGCTGAGTTGAGTGAAGCACAGGAGTAGCCACTCTTACCCATTGGGCAGAGAAAGCAACTCAGGCCCGAGGGATCTGTGCCCATCCCAGGCCACACGGCTCCCTGGTGGACAGACAGGGTTCCTGCCCACCTGGCCAGGTCCCAGCGCAGGAGGAGGTCCCTGGCCATGCTGCCCCTGGGAGCCACCAGAGGGAAAGGCTACAAGGTGCTCCTGGCATTTTGAACAGGTCAATGGTTTCATCAAAGAGAAAAAAAAAGAATGAAAGAATGAAAGGAAGAGTCTAACAGACGGGTGCTCCGTTCCCACCACCCTGGGGACCGAGGGCCCCTGACTCACCGGCGGCACTGCAGACTCGAGGCCATGACCTAGGGCAGAAGACAGAGGCAAGGTGAGCGTCAGTCCACCATGGCGTTCACACCCTCCCAACAGGGGCGGCCGGCCCGCAAAGGCCATTTCACGGCCAACCTCTGGAACTATTGCTTGGTGTTTGTATTGTTCTAGACCTAAAGTAACAGCTCTTGACAGAGACTCTAGAAAATAGAAAAATGCACGTAGAAGAAAATAACCATCAGCACCACAGGTAATATTTGGACCAAGTTCCTTCTCATGGTGCCTGTGTGTATAAGGATGCATGTGTATACTCGAATACATAGCTAGACAAACATAAAAGAATGTGTAGGATCCTGATGTTAAAAATATGTTGTGTATCTTTAGCTATTATTCAAAAGCACGTTTATGGGCTGTATGATTTCCAGAGGGGGCAGTTTGGGCCGGGCCGGTTTTTCCTACAGGGAACAGTGTTGCACTGTGCACCCAGGCCTGCATTGTAACCTCATTGCTGAATCCTTACACGGAGACCTCCATCAAGTGCAGCGAAGGGGTCAAATAACGGGGGCCTTCTAACCCCTTGTTCACGTCAATCACCAGGTGCCTTCCGCACGGGCTGCCTTTGTTCATAGTCCCACCTGCAGGCAAGAAGTGACCATCCCCCTCTATCTCACTGCCGTGAAATCCATTCTTTAAAACAACTTTGCCCCCTTGGCACTCTATTCCTGTCCCATGTCCTTGATGATTAGTGAGAGTGAATTATTATTATTATTGTTATTATTTTCAAATGGTTTGGGGCCATTTGCATTTCTTGGGTGATAAGTTACACGTGCACGCCTTTGCCGCTGTCCAGCGAGGTGTGTCCCTGGCCAGCACAGCCACCCTTGGACAGTGTGCCTTTGGAAGCACCTTCTCCCCGACCTGGGGTAAGGATCTGAAAAGCCCTGGGGTGATGGGAAGCTCTGAAGGATGTCGCTGCTGTGAGTCGCCTTGTTTGTGCTGTTAATAACCCCGGCCCAGGCTGTGCAGCCTTCCTCCGAGGCTCTCCAAGTGCGTCACAGGAGCAATTAATTGAGCATCGCAACACACGCCAGATGTAAATATTTATGAGGTTTGGTTGGTGGCGGGGCTTTGGGTGCAGAACAGTGAAGCTGGGAGACGTTGGTAACCAGGAGACCTCATCCTATGAGTCCAGCTTCCAGCTCACACTGTCGTCTTCTGTGCTCCATTTTATACTCAAAGTGGCCCTGTCCCAAGTTTACAGACAAGAAACAGGGGACTCAGAGGACCCAACAACCTGCCCAGTCCCGCAGAGAGGGCAGGATTTGACGCCTGCCTGCCTGCCCCAGAGTCCTGGCTATTCTGCCCCGGCCCGGCCTGGAGGCCCCGGTGAGTCAGGCTCTGCAGGAACCTTGCAGCTGCGCGCTCTCGGCACCCTTGCCATTATTAACTCTTGGAACCCTTTCAAGGTGCCTGAGATTCTGCAGAAATTAACAGTAAAGCAGCCAGCAAGGAGCCGATTATTTATCTGGGGCCTGGGAGATCTCTCTGACACTTGCCACACATGGCCTTTTTGTGACATCTTGATCTTTGATGAAGGCCTCAGAAGGTTCCCCGGACTTGCACCTGATGGCATGTGAAACGCAAATGACGTGTTTGAGGCTGTACAGCGAGCCTCACGTGAGCGTGGCTGTGGACAGGAGGCAGCGGGCTGGGAGCGGGCGGCGCACGAGCCTGCACCCAGGTTCCGGAATGCCAGGCCCGGCCTTCTCTGTCTCCTGGAGAGGACGACAGCCTTTACGTCGGGATTCCGTCTTGTTTCTTATCTTGGCCTCTCCTGGTTTTTAGAATCAAAGACTGTTATGCTAGGAAGTACCTTGGAGAGAATGTGGCCTGATTCACTGCTCCAACTTTTAGATTCCTGGAGCTGCAAGTGAGGTCTTTTGACGTCTGAACAGAGGGGAGGGAGAGCGCCCATGGGCACAAGGCGAGGCTGGACTCCCAGGAGGCTTCTCCATGCTGTGGGTGCAGCTAAAGCTTAGGAGAGTGAAGTGACTTCCCTGAAGTGGCACCTTGAGCTCTGGGCACAGGCCGACTTGTCTAACTTTAAACCGCTCATCACTTACAAGCCTCGAGCAGCCACTTCGACCTCGAGCTTGGCATCTGGAAGACGCTGATTATCAGGGCTGCCTGGAAGCAGCTTCTCAGATCTGCTCCGCCGCTTGGCGGGTCCCACAGCGAAGGTGCGCACGTCCAGGTTCGGTCCTGCGGGACCCTGCACCCCAGGGCTCTCTGCACGTCAGCGCAAGCCCAGGGAGTTAGCAGAGGAAGTGTCAGCAATGCAGGGACTGTGGTGTTGTTCCAGCTGAGCCCGCAAAGGGCGAGGGAGAGGGAAGGCTGGACCTGCCGCCCAGGGCCAGGGAGGGACGGTCCGGGAGGCCTCCTGGACTCCGCAGCTTTGTCTGGCTGGAGTGCCGCTGACAGGCTCTCTGAAAAGGCTCCTGTGTTCACACTCTTCGAGCTTGACAGCCCGGGATGATTAATGAAAGATGCTGCTTGCAAACTTCGTGGAGACTGGATGTGTTTTCTCTGGGCTCAGGCAAGACCCACGTGTTAGCGAGCTGCCTCCTGCCTGGGAAGTACAGGGATGCGCCCTGGTTTCCTGTCGTCAGCAGCGTCCATACATGGCAACGTGCACACCGGCCACAGCTGGGCAGCGTTAAAGCTGGGCAGCCGCCCGCTGTCTCCCCGCCCCCGCTCCGTCCACAGGTGGGGCTGAGGGAGGCTCCTCTTCCTCTCTATTCCCTGCTCGTGGAGGAGGCGCGCGGGTCCGCGTTGTGGGGGAGTTCAGCGAATGTAAAATGACAAAGTGGACCTCAGAGGCTGGTGGTTTTCAATACTTAAGGTCCTTACAAATAAAGACTTTTTAATTTCTGAATTATTTTACATTTTTAGTATTTCTTAATAATTTAATTTAGTGCCCTTTAAAAATAAAAAACTATTAAACATATTAAACTCTTCCCACCCCTCCCCCGTTGTTCCCTAGGAGAAGCGACTGCCATGAAGCAGGCCGAGCACCCTTGCGTTCGACTTATCCCTGGAAACAAAGTTTGGATGGTGTGTGATTCCAGTCCCACAGGGAGGGGACTCGGTCTTGTCCCCAGGGTCACGCTTCTGGCGTGGAGACTAAGTCCTCGTCGCCTCTTGTGCGTGGTGCGCGTGGGCCCCTCTGGGTCTCCCCAGGCACCCACGCTGGTCCAGAATGCGCCAGCAAAGCCCTTGGGAAATGGCGGGGTGACTTCACCCTCTCCCAAGCCTCCCAGATGAACAGGCTCAGCTCCACATCTCACCTGAAGTCCTGCTCCTCAACTAGAAAGACTGCTTTAGAATAAAAGTCTCTCACGTTTAGAAGACAAGTGCTATTTTGGAGAGGTGCTAAACGCAGCGTTGGAATAAGTACGTTCCCTTCTTCCCTGTCTTTGTAATGTGCGCACTAAGTGATTTCGCCCACCCCTCCTGGAGGGTCTTGGTGGGCAGTGGCTTTATGTCGGTCTGGGGGCATTATGGAGCGTCAGCCCCAGTGGGACCAGGAATTAAGCCTCTGACTCTGCAGGTGGAGGGAAGGGGCCGAGGTTCACCCTTGGAGGAGCTTTTCCTGGTGTCTCTTTAGGCCTGCCCCGTCTGGTGGCAGGGCCCGCCCTCCTGCCTCTGCTCCACCAGGTGGGATTTGGAAACGCCCAGGGTGCTCCGCAAGGAGGGAACCTGGAGGGAGGAGCTCGACCGCCGGCAGCAGCGTGGAAGCGCTCAAGGCCACGCGCTGACACTCTGAGTGGTGGCGCAGGAAGTGACGCAAGGGCAGCCGTGGGCGTTGGAGAGGGAAGGGCTGGGATAGGGCAGCCTAGGGAAGGCCTGGTGACGGCCTCCGCAGCCCGTGGGCGTGGCCACAGAAGCCCTCCTCGGACAGGCTGGCCTCTCTCCTGTGGAGCCCACCCTCCTACGACCCGAACAGAGTAGAAGCGATTTCTCAAACTTCCTGCTCCGGGCCCCCAGCTCCTAAAAGGGAGGCCCGGTACCAGGTACAGTGCCTGGAACATGGGCTGTACAGAAAAACATGTTGTTGAATGAGAATGAGTGAATGAGTGAATTGAATGAATGCACCCACATCCAGGGAAGCCACGATAAGAGGGGCGTCTCAAGAGGAAGCCACCCTAGAGACGCGCTGCGGACCCCGTCGGGGTCTCTCACACGGGCCTGTCCTCTCGCCGCAGGGCCTGCGGTGCCCGCGCGCGGTGGGAGCCTGCTCCACCCGTGCGCGCGCCCCCCACCTAGAGACCCCTGAGATTGGCCCTGTGGTGTTTTCCACGACAGAGGCCAAATTAGAGTCTCCCAGCCCCGTAATTCTTTGAAGCGCTTGAAACGCACACCAAAGTGAAGTCAGGTGACTTCATTTTTCATAAGTGATTACCTGGCTTCCTGCTTTGTCAAAGGAATCCCTCATTAGTTTCAACAATCTCCTTTTTTTCCTATTTAATTAAAAAAATAATTTGGCTGTATACCACTCTCTGAAGGGGCCCTGGGGAGAATGCTGGGAGTGTTTGGTACAGCTCAGAACTGTGAGAAGCCCATCCCCCCATAACCCTCTGAGGAGGGCGGGGAGGGCCCTCCCACCCCCTCAGGATCCTGCCCGGCCAGGGTCCACGGTGGTCCTTCCTTTCAGCTCGTGCTCTAGTGACACACTTAGTAGAGCTAAAAGGCTGTGCGTAATTATTCATTTCTTAATCACATCTTATAGTTTTAAATCTTGTGGTTTTTTTTTCTTTCCTCAACTAGATTTTTTAAGTTCTTTAGGTCAAAAAGCTGGTTTCGTCACCAATAACCCCTTTCATATAAGCTGTCTCTGACCCTCACGAGCATGAGAAGACAAACACAAAGCTTTCTAGCCTCGCTGGGCTGCCCCGCAGAGCGCGCGGCAGCAGGGCCAGGCCCGGCCGGCTCAGCGGGCAGAGCGGCCCCTGAGCCCGGAGCCCCTCCACGCTCTCGCCAACCCTTCCCCACGCGCCCTGCCTCCTCTCTCCTGTCCTCCACCCTCTCTCTCTGTTGCGAGTCCCGTTTGTCATCTGTTTAAGTCTTGTATGTGCCAGGCATGGGGATAGGACAAGTTAACAACAGCCTTCCAGTGGGTCCCAGTGGGTCCTGATTCTACACCCCTCCCCTCACTACATCAGGGTTTATTGAGCATCTGCTATGTCACAGCTCCGAGCAACAACCACAGGAAAGCTGGCGGGACCCCGCACGATACTTGATGCTTGCGCAGTGAAAGCCCTCTGGACCCTCCACACAGCTGTCAGCTTGCAAGATCCTCAGGGGATGCTCTGCTTCGTGCTCAGTGAGGGGGGCAGGACGGGCCAGAAGTGATTCTCACGGGTCTCTCAGTGCCACGGGTTCCCAGGGCGGCTGGAGAACAGGGGCGGGAGGCGGGACCCGAGAGGTCAAGAGCAGGCAAGCGGCAGCCAATGCCCTTGTTGTCTCCAGGAAGACCCAGCAGGGGGCCTCCTAGGGCACAGAATAGAACGACTAGAATGGGGCAGCTGGCTCCCGAAGGGTGAGGCCTGGCCCTCCTGGGCCCCGGGAAATTACAGCCACCTGCACCTTGTCCCGCAGGAATTAACTCTTGCTGCAGGTGTTAGTGGCTGAAGGAGAAAATGGATAGTCAATGAGATAATGCGTCGGGAGGGATCTGAATGGGCAAAGTGTGAGAGACACTGTTCGTCACAGAGCGGCTGGGAAAGGAAAGAGAGACGTGCGCTTGGGTAGGAGGACGCGGCTGGGAACCTTGGCTCTGCCACTCGCTAGATTGTGAACTCGGGCGAGCCCTTAGCCTGCCCCCTGCTCCCAAGGGGGCTGCGCCTGAGTCTGTCTCTGCTTATGGTTCGGTGCTTTCGGATCTGTTAGATAGCTTTTCTATGTCCCCTCCCCCCACCATAGACAAGCATCGTCGTGGCAGGGACTGTGTCTTCATCTCCTCATCTCCAGTGCCGTGGTCTCCCTGCTGGGGAGGACGTTCTCCCCCTCCTCGCCCTTACCCGCTTGCCCTGTCCCCACTCCCATCTTCTTCTCTCCATCCACCCACGGTGGCGGAGCGGGGAGGGACAGAGCGAGTGCTGAGCCCCGAGACCTCTTACTCCAGCTCCGAAGCTTGCGCTCTTAGCAGTGATGCTCAAAGCCAGGGTCCTCACACTTGAATGGGAGGGCTTATTTAAGCACAGGTTCCTGGGCCCCAGCAGGGGGGTTTCTGATTGGCAGGTGCGGCCTGAGCACCAGCATTTTTAGAAGTTCCCGCGGATGCTGATACTGCCGGTTTCGGGCCGCACTCTAGGAACCGGCCCTGTGGGGCTCCTGGCGGCGGAGGCGGACGGCCTTCTCCGGCGGGTAACGCGGCTGCCCGCCTCTCACGTGGTGTGTGTGGACACGGGCGCCCTGGAGACGCAGAGGACTGCAGACGGAATTCCCACGCACGTCCTGACTCAGGAGAGGAAGAGAGAGCGTAGGACCCAGGAATGGCACTCAACCTGAGACTTAGACTCCAGTGCACATCGCGCTGTGGCCAGTTCGTTGCCTGGGGGGGCTGGGAGGGGTGTGAACAAAACGCCTCTCCCAGGCTCTTTCCTCCTCTGTAAAGTGGGGATAGTAACACCTTCTCCAGAGCACCATCGTGAGGATTAAAGGCAAACGTCCTTTCTGTGGTGTATAGTGCACGTTAGGCGTTAAACTAACACCACACTTGGCTTTGAACTCCATTGGAAAACATCCATCAGTGTGTGCCTGTTTCTGGCCGCATCGGGCGACGGGGTCCTGGGATTTAGGCGGGTGAATTCGACGGGACGGTCTAGGACACGCGCACCTCCGTGCAGCGCCCGGGTCGCGGGGAGGGGATGCGGTGTGATCTCGTAAGTTTCTTGGATGGCATTCAGGGCGTCGCATCGGGCGGGGCCCTGGCACTCAGCTCAGCCTTTGCTTTATCTGTTTGAGTTTGGGGCTGGGTGGGAGTGGACGGCCCATTTGCGCCTGTGGGGGGAGCCGAGGCCTGCACACAACAAAGGGGCGGCGGCAGTGAGGGCAGCGGAGCGGAGCGCCAGGGTGGCGTTAGGTGTTAGTGGTAACATTGGCACGTCCACCGTTTACCGCGCCTCAACCCGCTACTCAGCCCGGGCAGGTTCTGTACCCTGGCCAGCCCGCATCCTTCTCCCTATGCAAGGAAACGAGTCATACGATCGTTAGGACCCAGTGAGAGACTACCTGTGAGCACGTACCACAGCGCCTGGAACTTGGTGAGCACTCGGTGCACGTCAGCCTTTGTTATTTGTTGAGAACCTACTACGTTCGAGTCGCATGGCAGAGTATCTACTCACCCAGTACAGGATCGCTTCAGGTACAGGGGGTCAGGGGTGGACGGGACAGCCCGCTCCTTAGGTCTCAAACAGTGTTTCTAAGATACACGAGGTGCTGCGGTGGAGGGGGCGGGCCTGCGTGCGGTCGCCCCGCTAACGAGCGGTCCGCGGAGATTTCAGTCCAGCCGCGATGGACTCACCGCTCTGCCTCTCTGCATAGCACCCTCTGCCCCTGACCTTCATCACCACCAAACGCCGATGATTATAATTTATATGGATAATGAGAACGTTGGTTTAATAGTTATTGAAGTAGGACCATAGACCTAAATCTATAGTTTTCAGACATTTTGATTTGATTTATGTATCTTAAACACTAATTTATATTCATATAATACTTTCATTATAAAATACGCAGTGGTACAGAGATTTGTGTATGAATATGGGGATTTTTTTTTTAACTTGAGTTTATAAGTGGTTTGGAGCAGGTTGCAGAAACATCGTCTGTTGCTCTTTTTAATATATCTTGAGCATGCTATGACACATCCTGAAATAATTTGCTTCAGAAAAAAAAGCCCTGCTTTCTCTTTTCTCCCCCAAATGTAAGTGTAAATATTACTTTGATGTGTGTAATTGCTGCAACCATCTCCATTTGAAGGAAGGCTTCTAACCCTTCCATCTCCCCTCTCCCGCTATTGTCAAGAAGTAAGGAAAATGGATTTGAAATGCATTATTTAAATGGATTTAATGTAAACATTGAAGAAGTCTGAGAACAGCCACAAATTTTCCTTTGCTTAAATGTGGTCTTGGAAATGTTTCAGGTGTTCTGTTTTTACAGACATTCATTCAGTCTGCTTAGGAAAAATATTTGTCAAGCAGATCTTAGGGTCCCAAGAACGCTCCTTGTGCCTGGCGCATAGTAGGAACTAAAAGAATGTTTGGTGACTGACTTGAGTTGAAGTAGATTCAGATTCGAAAAGAGGTATAGTGCTCGGAGACCCTTCGGCAGCTCTGGGTGCAGAGAGTGCTCCTGTAGGCCCTGGGCGGGGGTTCTGTCTGGGTGCAGGGAGACCCACACCCCTGCTACGTGGTGGGGTGTTGCCCAGGATCAGACTGCTGGCTCATGACCGAGCTGGACCTGACTCGGGCTTGGTCTCTTGTCAGGGATTTTGTCAGCCCCCATTCTGAGCTTTCAGACGTGGCTGTGAGCCCCTTGAAGCCAAGACTTGGTCTTTCATCTCTGTGTTCTCAGTAACCTGTGCAAATCTCGATGTCATAATTGATCAGTAAACAAAGAAAAGAAACACCGTGGACAAAGAAAAGAAACCACATAGGCGGGTGGCTCCCTGTAGTCCCCTTGTTTGTGAGACCTGGCCGTGGACTCACGGTGTGACCGGCAGTGAGATTCTACGACACTGACTGTGCGCGCGCGTGGGTGATGGTCAGCTCATTTGCCATAGAGGCAAATGCTTCACTCTGTTAGTCAACAAGAAAATACTCTCACCCAGTTTTTGGCAGAGTGGTGCTCTGGAATTTCAAATCACTGGGTCCTTCATTTGTTGTCCTTTTGTTGCCCCTAGAATGAAAGGCAACAAATTATAGTCAGGAAAGAGTAAGGAGCTGGGGCAAAGTGATATAATTAACTGCTTTCATTCACAGAAACAACCGCCCAAGCTTACACATTTTCCAAATTTGTCTTTGCATTTCCATTAGGGTTAAAGAAAATCCCTAAAATCCCCTTGAGTTGTTTTAAGTAACTCAATTACTTTGAATTACTATTATTACTTTTTTAACGCACAAGCTTTATTTTACAAATGGTGGCAATGGGATAGAAGTGCCCCAGTCAAGACGAGCACGCGGTCTGCTCCCTCGTCAGCAGGGCCACGGGGACGTCCTTGAACTCTGAAAGTCTCCGGGACATTGCTCTGTGAGAGCACGAGGGTTACACCTTCGGCACACGGTCAAACAGGGACAGCGCCCACGGGCCAAAGAATGAGCTACACGTTTTTCTACATCAGCTGAATTCTGCCCCAAACCAGCAAACGCCACCAGTGTAGGAAGGAAGACTATTTAACAATAGCAACTTCGATTCAAATAGTATTGATTGAACTCCTATGTAATTTAGGCACTTTGCTGTGGTACTTTCTATGAAGAGAGTAAATTATTTTGAATGGAGTTGATTTGTTAAAATTCATTAAGGCCTACATTATCATAGACTATCACTGTTATACCTTATTTAATGAACCAAGCAGACTGTATTTTCTTTTATTTTTTGTAGGCGTTTCATGAGCTTTGTCACCTGTTTACTGACAATACTGTTGCCTCCAGTGCCCTTCCACCTGGTGAGCACCTGTGACTCATTGTCCTCCAGGTGTTCTCCCCTTGGGCCAAACTTCTTCTTCTTAGACCTTGGACTTTCTCTACTTCCTCCCCCAGGGCTCTTTTAGGCACTGGTCCCTCTTTCTCAAATACCCATTGCCTTCTTTTCCTTCACACTAACTCGTGCTGAGCCCAGTCAGGCCACTTCCTCAGAGAGACCTTCTCCGATGGGAGACTGGCTCCTCACAGTGCTCGTCTGAGTTGAAGTTAAACTTCTGTTATACCTGGCAGCTGTAATCATGTCTGACAAGTCTACCTCTCGATGAGGAGAGATTTGCAGAGCTTGGCCCCCTGGGGGGCTGGGTCAGTGCCTGGCCCACACTGAGCTCTCAGTGGACATGCATGATTGTCTGCCTGAAGAAAGGGCTCCAGGAGCTGCCTGACCATGCCCAAGCCTCTCTTTCCATCCAGGATTTTGTGTGGAGCCTATTGGTTGCAACGTGATGGGTAGAAAATTGAGTGAGGGGTGTGTGTGTGTGTGTGTGTGTGTGTGTGTATGAAAGACAGAGAGGAAGAGAAAGAGAGGGAGAGATGTTGATGTGAGAGAGAAACATCAATCAGTTGCCTCTCATATGTGCCTTGATTGGGAACGGAACCGGCCACCTTTTGCTTTGCGGGACGACAGCCAACCAACTGAGCCACACTAGCCAGAGCTGTTTAGATATGTTTTGCCATTGTGAATATTTATGTTATTTTATTGTTTCTCATTTTGCTTTTTCGTTATTTCATGATTTCAAAATTATTTAATTATTTCATATATTTCATTACTCTTTTTTTTACCCAGGTGGAATTTGATTTATAAATCTATACCTGCGCCCTGATTTCTCTTCTAAGGTCTAGGCCTGAACATCTAACTGTCTTCTGGGCCTTTCTAACAGCTGTCCCCCAGACGGCCCAGGCCCTTTCACCGGCGAGCGGCTCCATCGCCCGGTTAGTTTCCAAACCAGCACCCTGGGCGTCTTCCCCCGGGTTGCCGCCAGATCCTAACGGTCAATCCCCAGTGTCTCTCATTCTGTCCCCGCCTCTTCACTCCAATGAGCAACACTCAGTCTGACTTCTCTTCTCGTCTTTCCCAGCCTGGCCTCTGCCGTCGGCCCTCTGCCTGCCTTTCTGGCCTCCTGGCTACCTGGCCTCCGCTCCGCCCACCGAACTGCAGCGAGAACCCCTTTCTAATGAGTGAAATACTGTCAGTCACCTTTGGCTGGAAAATCCTTAGCCCCTTCAGGAACTTCAACCGCATTATCTAACCCAGTACTCCTCAAGCCTCTGAGTTACCCCAGTTTCTTTCCCGCGCCTGGTGAATGGCTTCGAATGCTCCGGCAAATGCCTGTGTAACGTCTAGTTGAAAGGGGACCATGTCTTCCTGTGCGATATGATCTCTTTGACCCAGTCGATTATGTCACTCCCCCTCCAAGCACAGGATGTTTGTCCCTCGCAGGAACTTTGAAAATATTGACACTATCCCCTGCTGCTTTTCCTGGATGAGCATCCGGTTGACTGGAGAGCCTTGAAGTCCTTCTGTAGAAACAGCACCGTCTTCCTTTTCTCAGCCTCTCAGGGATGGCCGCAGCCAATGGCCAGGGTCCTCGCAATCCGAGGCGTGGTCGGTCTGAGAAGTGGGGTGGCACCAGCTGTGTTAAGGGGTCCCCTGAGATGCCGGTGTGAGTCCAGCCCAGGCAACATGATATCATATTCATTTCCACGGTCCTCCGAGACCACGGCCTGTGTTCTGCCACCTGTCACTTGTTGTGCTAGCATCACCATGAACTTTAACGTGGGCATCCGCAAGATTTCCTTTTCCTTTGCACAATCTGTGAGACTTAAAGTTCATGAATTTTTTTCCCTTCCTTATAAATCTACAGGGTTTTTTCTCCCTGATACGATTGATCAATTCTTCTATGCTCATCACTTCTCTTAGTTTCTGTTATCATGCCCTCAGAAGGAGAACACCCTGCTACGTTAGCATCTTCAGAGTCATCATGTTATCTCTTGTTTCTTCCTCTAATGTGGCGCCATACTGTATTCGCTACCCATTGCTGTGTATTGATGTTATCACAAGTGTAAACCACACACATTGATTATTTCACAGATTTTGTGGGTCAAGAATCTAGGGAATCTTTTCTGGGTCCTCTGTTTCAGGGTTTCTGTTGAGGCTGCAACCAAGGTGTCAGCCGAGTTTGGGGTCTTCCCAAATGTTGACCTGGGGAGGAACGAGCCTAGGAATACTCCATGGCTGATAGGGTTCAGGTTCTCAGGGCCCGTGGGACGGGGAGCCTCAGTTCTTTGGTGCCTGTTGTCTAGAGGCTGTCCTCAGGTCCTTGGCACATGAGCCTCCCTCACACGGCCACTTGCTTCATTGAAATGTGCAAGCAAGGAGACAAGAGGAAAGTTACAGTCCTAGGGAACGCAATCACAGAGGTGATGTCCCATCAATTTTGCCACATCCTATTGTTTAGAAGCTGTCTCAGGCTTGTTTACCACGAGGGGAGGAGACAACATGGGGGAGGAACGTGAGCACCAGGACATGAGATAACTGGGGGAACACACACATTGCCACATGCTTAGTGTGGAAGTGTGAGTCGAGATGATCCTTCTATAACATCCGGAAGGTTTTTTTTTTTTTTTTTTTTTGTTGCAAATTTACAAACCAAATCAGCTAGAATCTTTCGCGGCTTTTTTTTTTTTTTTTTAAACTTTCTATGACTCCTAAAAATGTCAGGCCAATTTTCAAAAGTTTTTCAGTTAATTCCAGAAGACTCCAGCAAATGCCAGAATAAACTGGTGCTCCAATTCTTGCATGTGAGAGGCCATTATAATAATTTTCTATAGCAGAATGCTATACTTCTAGCTCCCTTAAAATAGTCCCCGCATCAGTTGTCACAAACGACTTCTCCAAGTGATTGACGTGCATTTTGTTCATTTCACTCGGTCCCTAAGCTGTTTGGGTGGCTGCATGCCTGTACACAGCGCTCTCCCCGAGCATCTGAGCAAAGCTCAGTTTCTCGGGGATTCGAGGCGATAGGCCTGGATGCTGACACATTTAATGTGTTTGCACTGCTGTACCCAGAAGAACCGAAGGGCGCACACAGCCTTCTTGCCTCACAGATTTAAAAAAAAAGTTTGAATTTGAATGTATTCACATATGGTTTATTCCCTCAAGCTCATAACGCCTGCACCATTCACTCCCTACTATCTTAGATTTTTTATTAGCTAACTGGCCCCCGAAGATCTGAGCTGGTGATCCTTCGTAGAGGAACTTGAGAGGAACATCCACTCAGTAAGGAGTTGACCACAATGAGATGTTTTAATTACTATCCCTCACCCAGTCACACCTTTGTGCTGCTTAATTTTACGTGTCAACTCGGTGAGGCTATGGTGCTGTGGTGTGTGGGCTTGAGAGCCTGTTTCCTGAGCCTCCCCAACCCCATCCCGGACCCCTTTCCTTCTGTATCCTCATCAACACCCCTAAAAGGCTGTCTCTGGTCACGGGAACATAGCCCTCTGGCTCCAGTTCTTTACTGATCTGAGTTGACATAGCGAAGCAGACCTTGGTGCCATCCTCAGATCAAATAGCTGTTGAGCAGCTCATGTGCTGGGTGTTGTATTCGGACTGGGGACACAGGTGGACAAGACACAAAACACCCTGCCCTCATGAAGCCGGCCGCCATGTGAGAGGGACCCGAGCCAGTAAGCCAGGAGCCCACCCCTCTGTCACAGCTTCCTACCTTGGTTCACTGCGGTGTCAATGGCTACCCGGTTTTAGGACCATCCACCTGGCCCTGGCCTGGTTTTCCCTTGGGCTCAGCTCTGACAGGTGCCTGTTGGGTTGACACCTGGCCAGGAGGTAGCCCCTCACTGACCCTCCCTCAGGCCCCTTGGCTCCCTCCACCAGCTTTTCTGGACTCAGAGAGAGGCTCTACCTTCTCTACTGAAACAGAGCAGCTTCGATTTTCGGGGCTTGCCACCTGCACCATCATCCTTGGAGGACCCCGTCCCTCCCCTCACATGGAAGAGCAGCCGAGGAACTATCTGTGCATGAGAAGATCTGTAGGTGGGGCCAGGAATCTGTTGAGGGAATTGCTAATTCTTGCTCATGAAGGCAGACTATGGCTCCAGAATGTGCCAGAATAGACAAGCTCTGCCTACGGGTTGCCGATGCAGAGTGGAGGGTGCTGTCTGAATTTAGCTCCTTCCTTTGTCAGAGTGGTGGCTTCAAAGATTCCCAGGGCTCAGGGCTTGATGGCAAGATCTGCTTGAACCTGTTAATTTTATAGATGAGACAACTTGGGCCCAGAGAAGTGCAGTGAGCTGCCCATGCTAAGCAGATGCTGACGGAGAAGGCTCCAGCTCAGCACCTGGCTCCATGTGGAGCCCGAAGTCCCTGTCACTTAGCCTGGGCTTCCCCAGTGCCTGTCTTCTAATTAGGCCTTTCTAGGTGCCTTCTAAATAAATTCTCCTCTTCCTTCTTAATCTTCCGGAGGAAAGAAAGAAAGAAAGAAAGATAATCTAATTTAGAAAACATGAAAGCAATCCTGAATCCTTTATGTCCGGGTTGCAAGAAGTCCCATGAAACTCCTTTCCTCTTTCCTTTTTTAATTTCGTTTTTATTACACGTTTCAGGTAGACAACGTTATAATTCGATATCTACATACGCTGCAAAGTGATCACTCTCCAGAGTCTAGTTACTCTCCCCTCTTTTTTTGTTTAAATTTTGATTCAGCAAAAGAAAATGAACCAAAAAACCAAAAAACAAAAAAAGAAGCCTTACGTCTCATCTTTTCAAATGCTTTTTCCTTTCTTTCTCTGTCTTGACTATCAGGAGATGTGGCTTCTAAGAGACCATCAAGGTATGTAAAGAGCAAATGCAATAACCATTAACAGCAGTGAATTACCCTTTTTATAGGCCCAAAGTTGTGTTCATAGTGGAATTTAATTTATAGATGGTCATGCCTGAAAGATTCTGGAAGATTGATAGAAAATGACATGGAAAAAAGCAAGATATCTATTTTTAAGAAAACCCTCAAAACAAAAGCTTGATGCGTGCCTGGTTGGTACACACGCAATGAAAATGCAAGAGTCAAAGGGAGTGAGTGGCCTGCTTTTGCGGCCTGTGGCAGCCTGGGAGGGCCTCCCGGTTACATGCAGGAGGGGCTTCCAGGGGAGGAGCACCAAGGTGATACCCTTCCCTCCATCTCCAGGCCCAATGGAGAGAGGAAGGGAAGTCAAGGCCGTGGAGGGAAGTGAGAGAGGAAGGGCAGGTCTGCGACCCCAGCTGCCGGGCTCCACCCGTCCCACTCGGGGAATGGTTAGTACCGTCTGCAGGGGTCTCTACCTCAGTCCCATCGTGTCTCACTGCCTGCCTGCCTCACAGACTGTCTCACAGACTG